CAGAAGTGAACTTGGAACTAAGTAGTGAAATACTCAGCATGTGTTTCATAACAGATTCAGTGTCTCTAAATATCTTTTTTAAAACTTAATGGATCAGAACTCCAGTTCATAATGCAGACCATCAGGTGAAGGGAAACACAGGTAACATATTGTGAACATTGTTTTGGTTAGAACTCAACAACCCTGGTAAATGTCTGCACTGAAACTACTTAGTTCCATATTTTTATTGGAAAGATGGTACTTTATTCCTTGCCCGTTATCTATAAAACGTATTAACTGTATTTTTAAATGCATTTAGAAAAAGACAAATTAACTTCAGATGAGTTTTGTTTTTCTTAAGAGGCAAATTCTGTTTCTCAAGAAAGTGCTCAGCCTGGAAAGCTTGGATGATTGTTGCAGTGTCTGCTAATAAAATTACACAACACAATAGATGAAGCTTTCATGTATTTAGCTTTCTGAAAGATGACACAGAGGCCCACTACTATGACTGTATACTTATTCGATTAGAGAATGCTGTACTAGTGGATGCTTTTCTGACCTCCAGCTCCTGCCTTGCTGTGGACAAGAATCAAAACAAGGAAGAAAGGCAACATATTCACTCCCACAGGCATGAACACCATTTCCTTATGGTTCCATCAACTTGCTCTTGCCTGTGAATCAGGAACCCAACAGGCAGTTACTGGCTCCACCATTTCAATATTCAAAATAATGTAACCTAAGCCATGTATTGTAACATCATGATTCAAAGTGACAGCCTTAATCCCTTAGAAAAGAAAGGGAAAAAAGAGAAAGAGAGAGGAAGAGAAGAGAGGAGGAGGAGGAGGAGGAGAAGAAGGAGGGGGAGGAGAAGAAGGAGAAGGGGGAGGAGGGGGAGAAGGAGGAGGAGGAGAATCAGCAGCAGCAGCATGAAAACTAAACAAAAACAAGCACTTCGTGGCAGACCTAGATTAACCTTATGAAGTGGTCTCCTGTAGACAGTGCTCCCTCTGACTTTTAAACAATCTCCTCTTGTGTCGCTGGCCTTTTTACCCATTAACAAAGCCATCAATGATAGATGAGACAGCATCTGTCTACTATCTGAGTCAGTAGAGTGCAAAGAAGAATTTGATTTTTTCCTTGTTAAAGTCCTATCTTTGGCTAGCCTGAAAGAAGAATTCGGATCATGGGAGAATGTCTTATTATTTCTTTGTAAACATAGTCATAAGATGACAAAAGGAAAATGCTATAAAAACTAATACAGTTACAAAATGGAATAGTATTCAGTAATTTAAAAAAACATATTTGAAGCCAGGCACCTGTGGCTCACATATGTAATCCTAGCTACTCAGGAGGCTGAGATCTAATGATTGCAGTTCAAAGCCAACCCCGGTTGGGAAAGTCTGTGGGACACTTAATGCCAATAAACTACTCAGAAAAATCCAGAAGCAGCACTATGGATCAAGTGGTAGAGCACTAACCTTGAACCAAAGAAGTGCAGGGACAGTATCTAGACCCAGAGTTCAAGCCCCAGAACTGTCAAAACAAAACAATAACAGAAAAGATATTTGAGCCAGGCATCAGTGGCTCACATCTGTAAACCTAGCTACTCAGGAGGCTGAGATATAAGAATCCTAATTCGAAGCCAGCCTGGGAAGGAAAGCCCATGAGAGTTTTCTCTCTAATTAACTACCATAAAGCTGGAAGTGGAGCTGTGGGTCAAGTGGTAGAAGGCTAGTCTTGAGCAAAAAAGCTGAGAGATAGCACTCAGACCCTGAGTTCAAACCCAAGTCCTGAGTTCAAGCCCTGAATGCAAGCCCCAAGACTGCATTAAAAAGAAAAAGGAAAGGAAAAAAGAACATATGGTTGCAATTTATGCATTTATGCATTTATTATGAAATAATATGAATGATTAGTTATTATGCCACAACAAAAAGTCTTATAGAAAAGAATATACATTGCATGATTCTTTTGAAAGGAGGTTTTAGAACAGGCAAAATCTCTGGGGAAAAAGTCAGCACAATGGTTCATTTCAAAGGCTAAGTAGTGCTACTAGATAGAATATAAAAATCCTAGATGAATTTGAATTTTTAGTACAAATATACTCCTTGCATTTTTACTTGAAAAAGCTAGCAATCCATTAGGGAGAGGACAGGAAACATCTTTCCAGGGAGGTGATAATGCTGCACATCTCAATAAGAGTTTGAAAGTGATTTATTAAAGTCATATAAACAAAACAAGAATTTTTAAAAATATATTGAGCCCCGGTTAGCAATAGGATTACTAAATTGTTTCTATTTAGAAATATATTGATGTTTAAAAGTTGTTTCCATGAACATTAAAGAAGATGGATTGGTAACTCAAGAGAAATGGAAATGTAATAACACTTAAAATATAATTTCAATATAACAATTAACTGATAGTAAAGGTTAATGATAGAAACTCAATGATAAGCACCTGATATAAAACTCTTTCAGCTTTACTGTAGCTTTGAGAAATTTCATGACAAAATACTAGGAAAAACTCCTGTTCAGCCCTACTTTTAGGGAGTTACAAAAGAGGTAATAGACAGTAAACAACATTACTAAATACATCATAGATTGATTGGCATAGAAAATGACAAAAGGAGGAATGGAAGGGCAAAGCTTCATGCATGCTGGATAGTACTCTTAAATAGGGTGGCCAGGGACCACTTCCTGAAGATTGAGGAAGATAGAGGAAATAGCATTCCAATCTGAAGAAAGATGATGCAGGAAGAGAAACTGAAAGATTGTATCCCATAAATATGTATAATCATGTGTCAGCTCAAAATCAAAATAAAAAGGGAGAGTGAGCATGGCAAGTTTTTAGCAGAGCAAAGCTTGATCCAGCTAGTCTTCAGGTAATTCATGTCTGGGTCATGGTACATGGAACAATTAGGGGCCAGAGACCCTTGTTCATTCCTAGACAATGTTTTCCCTCTGGGAAGTATCTATATTATTTGTGAGATAGGTAACTATAAACATAAAATGGAAATATTTCAGTGGAATATGGGTAACTTAATTTCTTTTGAAAGTCAGTATTCCCTGATGGGAATACTTTAATTGGCCCGTTTTAAACATTGTAAATGTATCTTTATGTCCTTTGTATAAATGACAAACAACAAGCCATGTGTACATCCATGTCAGTGGCTGGAGTTCTATTTTTACTGGGACAGCAACAGCTATAAGCCACCTTTATCCCTCAGATAAGTTCTCAATTTTTCCCTCCCCCAAACTTACTTATGGGGAGAAAAGGTAATGATTTCCTATAAGGTGGCCCCTTTTGATTCAAGCTACTGCTTCAAACCACCTGCTATGATCTAGGCTTACTACTAACCTTCATCTTGAGTGTGTCATGGGGCTCACCAGCCTATTTCTCTTCTTGAGACCCACACAGTCTTGCCTTTGAATATGTCAGATAGCTCATACTGGATACTCAGCTGACATGATCTGATGATACTAAAAAGCCATTACTTTCTTCTGCTAAAGTGCTTTAGTAAACACCCAAGCCCATGCACATAAACCATCTTCACTCTCTGCAGCCCTGCCTAGAAATAGGTGTGCGCCATGGACTTTCTTCACCCTGAACAACTTCTCTGGCCCTTCACTCTACACTGGGTAAGAACCATTTTGAGGTGCCTTCATTACTCTCTGTGTGCCGTGGAAAGGTTCAAGAGAGAATTCAATTAAAGGGGTAGGAAATAGGAATGAGCCTAAAGAGTATAATTTCAAGGGGGCAAAGCAGTGGGGTCCAGTCCAGCAAGGCTTAACCCTTCTGAGGTATTGGTGAATTGGGGGGGGAGGGGGAAGGGGAGTCACCGATGACCACTGAGAGGCCAGTGATTGTGGAATGGTGAAACAGAACCAAGGCTACAGGACCTTGAGATGTGAAGAAACCAAGGGTAAAAAGGTGGAACAGTGAAGATCATCCCTCACATCACATGAGCTTCAAGAACTACCCAACTTATTTGTTGAATAAACAAGTGTACTGATGGGTGAATGGATCTGAGATTATGGGATTCAAATGGTACACAAAATATTTTTAATAGCATAGGTTGTCTGAAAATATTTCTCTAGTCAAAACCAGTTTACTGAGCATTTTCCCATCATAAACATAGTGTATTTCTATAACTCATTTTCAGTGCATGCCTATGTTTTTGATGTGCACTCTGATTTAGGTGCATTCTTGGTTAATGGAGCCTTAAAGTTACCTTGGGATAACTTTCTCTGTGTGAGTGACACCTGACCCTAGTGCTTGGGACAGAGTCTCTGCTGTGTTCCATTGATGGAGCTTCCCAGTTGTGGCAGCGGCAACTCTAATACATAAAGGAATATGTCCTGAATTGAGTTCATAGAGGCCTAGCTAGAAAATAACATCATGATGAATATATGAAAGGAGAGACTGTTTCCCACAAGGACCACCAAAGACTTATATGAAGAAATACGTTTCCAATAGAATTAAAATATAAAATTAGGATTAAATGCCTGGCTTTTCCAAACACACAGCAAACTAGAATAAACTGTGGTTTGCAAACTAGGGCACATAAGTCACTCAGAGCATTTGTTGAAGCAGCGATCCCTGGCCCAGGCTCCAAGAGTTTCTGATTCAATTGTTTTAGGTGAGGCCTGATTAACTGCATTTCTAACAAGTTCTCAAATGATGCAGATAGTGCTGGACAAAACCACACGTTCAAATCCACTAATGTATGCAAAATGTACGAAACATTTTCATAATTTCTTTCTCTTTTTTATTGTTCCTCAAAGCAAAGGAACCACATTAAAATCATGAAAGGTAGTAAATTATCAACTAAAATTAGATTATTTCAATTGTAATAACTCACCAAACAAACTTTTTCCCAATTAAAGTCTCAATATTTTCTTGAAAAGGAAGACTGAAACTATAAATTGACAGAAAGAAAATAACATTATGCATGGATCTTCATTTGCCTTTTTATTTTTAGCCAATTTTTCAAACCTAAATAGGTAGAATTTTAGTGCTTGAAAAGAGATCTTTGACATGGAATGATTTGTCTTCATTTGTTTAATGGATTCATGAAAATATCAGTAGTAGGCATGTGTTGACTGGGAAGAGCAGACAGTTCAGTCCAGTGAAATTCTGTTTAAGCAATTCCAAAGATGTTAGGGCCACGCTCACAAAAACATTTCTGAGAACAGAGTAATACTCGAAGAGGTATCAGCTTCAGATTTTTGCTGATCTTCCAGGCCTATAAAGTAAAGATGAAAAATTAAACTAAGGCAGTACCCAATAAATATTTTTAAATAAAATATACATTGGATTCCTCCAATGTTTCACAACATTGATTTCTAAAGGACACACTATTCCATTTATGCTTGATTTGTTCTTTTCCCATATATAAACACACTTAACTAGCTAAGAAAAGCATACCCAATACAAAACAAAATCTAAATAATAAAGTTTATATGTGTTTTTATGTAAACATTAGTGTATAGTCTAAATTCAGTGAGTTGGGGTAGAGGTGAAAAATGACATGGATTCAACAGGAACTTGACTCCTGTTGAGTTTGACAGAAGTGTTAAAGCCAAAAAATACTTATCAAATAGTATTTTGATTTGCAGATACTGAACCCATTCCCTGTCTTCTAAATATTCTTTACTTATAATCTGAAATTTTCATGATGATAGTTACTGGCTGGGTCTCCATCAATTTCTTCAATACATAACTTTTTGCACTTCATATGTTTCTGTTTTTACAGCTTTGGGAACAAAATAGGTAGCCAAAATTGGGGGGAGGGAGGGAGGGAGGGAGGGAGAGAGAGAGAGAAGCAACAGGGAAACAGAGAAGCAAATAAACAAATGAAGCAAGGAAGGAAGCAAGGAAGAGAGGAGAGGAATTAAGGAAGAGAAGAGAGGAACTAAGGAAGAGAGTAGAGGAATTAAGGAAGGAAGGAAGGAAGGAGCAAGGAAAGATAGAAGGATAGAAGCAAGAGGAAAGAAAGAGAAAGAAATAAAGGAAGGAAGGAGGGAGGGAGGGAAGGAGGGAGGGAAGAGAAGGGAAGAAAAAGAGGGACAGAGGAAGGAGAGAAAGAAATTCCAATTTTAAAAGAAAGTTACAGGGGCTGGGAAGGTGGCTCCATGGTAGGGCGCTTGCCTGGCATGCATGAGGCCCTAGATTCGATTCCTCAACACCACATAAGCAGAAAAAGCTGGAAGTGGTACTGTGGCTCAAGTGGTAGAGCACTAGCCTTGAGCTAAAGAGCTGAGGGATAGTTCCCTGGCCCAGAGTTCAGGCCCCATGACCAACAAAAAATAAACGATACAACCTTGTACTTACCATTTCTGTGCTTTATAATCAATTTCTGTCTTAGTAAGACAACCCAAAAGAAAGACACATGAGTAGGCATTAAGTAGTTAATAACAGTATTTTGTTTTAACCATGAAACTATTTGACCATCATCATCACAAGCCACACTGAGAGATTTGATTACTGTGCTATTCACTAATCCACAAAAGAATTCTGAGATTGCCTTTAGTTGTTTGAACAAAACATATGAGCAGTTATTAAGCCATCCAAGATATGATGCTGTATCCGTGGAGAATTGAAATAACAGGTCATGTCATCTTGTTTATGGTTAGTGTGATACTAACCATAAGATATTCTGGATGAGAGTAAATAGGCACAGTATCTAAAAACCTGGCATCTTCCTGCAAAGACAGCTGATTCATCATTAGTAGGCAGTCACTGGACTCCCTGATGAGTATTCGTTTTGCCACACTGCCAGCCCCCAAGCCCACTTTTCCTTTGAAAATCCTCTCTTCCTCTAATCCCAAAAAATATATTGAAGACTGAAAGAACCAATGATCCCAACTCCTGGGGCCAAGATATGACCACAAAATTCAATGCTAAGCAGTGATCCATCTGTGACAACCATGATCAGTTTGGGGAAAGAACACAAGCCATAGCACCAAGGAGCATCAACCTCAGACTGTTACTGGAAGAGAGAGAAGCTCCTATCCTTCTCCTATATGGCACAATGAGAGAGTTCTTACCTGGAAACAAGGAAGGAAGGAACAATAAATAGAAGACATGTATTCATAATGATAGACTTGGGAATCTGATCTAGTCATACCTATATATTCAGCCAGACCCTTTCCCAGACTTCTAATATTTTTCACATCAGGGTATCCACTTGGTTTCTTAGTTTCCAACCAAGAGTCCTGACAAATTATAAGTAACTTGAAATCAGCAAAAGTGCCAAGAATACAGAAATATAGAGCAAGTAACTCCTGCCATGAAAAAAAATCTTTTTTTTTGTTTTCCTAGTAAGTTTTTTATTGTACCCCTGTACACAGGGGTTACAGTTACATGAGCAAGGTAATGAGTACATTTCTTATCAAGCATTGTTGCCTCCTCCTTTGTTTTTCCCATACCATCCCTTCCCTCCCACCTCCTCAACTACTCCTCTCTCCCACCCTAAATTGTAAAATTTATTTCTCAACATAGTGTCTTACACATCTCAATGTTGCAATGAGTCAGCCTATATCCCATTTAAACATTTTGTTTTTTCCCTTCCCCTCCCCAAATTATACCAGCATCAAATACAGTGAAAACAGGGGTTGTACCATGGGGAAGGGACATACAAAGCAACAAAAAAAATCACATGGTACCTTATAAATATGTTAGAAACAATAGCAAGAAAGAAAAAAACACTTGTGTCCCTATCTTGGGGTTCATTTTGTTTAACATCAACTTATCTGACCTTTTCTGCTTGACTCAGACATATACTAGATATTGCAAATAAGGGAAACCATGGGACCTATGTTTCTTTGGGCCTGGCTTACTTTACTTAATATAATTTTTTCCAAGTCTTTCCATTTCCTAACAAATGGGGTAATGTCATTCTTTCTGATGGAGGCATAGAATTCCATATATATATATATACCACATATGAAAAAAATCTTATGGTCTAGATGGAAGGACAATAAACACAAAAAGTGACTAGAAACATTTGCTCAACTCAGTGATAAGTCCTCTGTGAGTAAAGAGAGGGGACATGCTGCTATTCCACAGCATATAAAAGAGGAGCTGAGTTTGGAAGAATTGTTAGATGTCCATAGAGAAAGCAAAAGCAGTTGAGTAAGGACAAATTTGAGAGCTGAAATTCAAGAATGCATTTAGAATGCTTGGGAAACAATGTCATGTAAACACTAAATAATTATAAATTGTTCAACCATGGAAATACAATAATAAATATCCTAGTCCAGGAGCAAAAAGAATTCATAGGTTTTTTATAATGAGAGTCCCATTATGTAAATTATCTTATATCTACTCTAGGTAAGATAATATTTACTCCTCAACAATTCAAGCATTGAAATTGTGTGTGAAGAACTAATGACATAAATAAAAACCAAATGGAGTCTTTTCCCTTTCCAGATAGTAGATAATTCTCTTTTCTGAACACTACTTCTGGTCTATTCCTGCAATACATCTCAGCAAGAACCAAAGGACTATTGAGAATAAACCAAGCCACATCCGTTCTACTCATTCAGTTTAAGAAAATAGAGCCATGAACCAAGAGGAGGAGGTTAAAGAAAGGCATGGACAGAAATCAGGGAAGCAAGTGGGATCATGCTGTTCTCCTATATACTTTGTCCAAATTTCTTCATGAGATGAAAAGTTGGTAATAGAAAGTATTGAAAGCATTTTCTGTTTCCACTGTGGTTTTTCCCTTTTCCCTCGTGCCATTAAGAAATTGCATGGACAGAGTTTGGATTGGCTCTTGTCACAAACGGGAATGTGGTTCCTGTGTCCCTCTCTTTCCTTTTTGGGGGGAAATTATTGTGTAGTTAATTTTAATAAAATGAATGTTCTCTTTAGCTTTTGAGTAGTCTATGTTGCAAAAGGCCACATGAGGTGAATGTGAGATTTTTCTGGAGTTTATCCTCAAACTTAATAAGTCATGTTTGTGATCATATATTTTAAGGACTTATGAGTTATTTCCCAGATATTTTACTGAAAACAAATAACTAGACATGGTTCATTAGTAATATACTTTCCATCATGTTTGCATGAAAAAAAGATATCTCTAATGTGGTAGGCATTGTACAAGTGGTAGAATGCCTTCGTAGCATGCACAAAACCTTGAGGTCAAACTCCAGTACCACTCCAGTGGACCCCTTTATGTCCACTTGAATTTCTACTTCAGAGACATGTGTGACATACCATGGTAAAACACCCTTGAACGGTTTGCATACCCTAACATAATAAATGACAAGAACGTAGAACAGGCCCTATGGAAAGCACACTAGTAGGGAAACATGGAGAACAGAGATGGCAAAGGAAGGTGAGCATGACCAAAATACCTTACACACGTGTATGAAAATGTAACTGATGAAGTTAGTTTTGGAAAGGGGAAGGTGAGGGGAGTGAAAGTACCAGAGACCAACGTATATTGTACTCACATAAGGACCTATGAAAATAAAAGCCCCTTGTGCAACTAATTGGTGCTAATTTTAAAATATGGGAAGAAAATATTTAAACAATAAAATTCCCTTCCATTTGTAGTACCATCTTAATTGTTTCCACTGGGAGGACATATATCTATTTGAAAAAAACATGCTACCAGGTGATCGTGACACTCTTTCTTGTCAGGACCTAACTACATAAATCTTGGCTAACAAAATCTCATTATTTTATCAAAGATGGTTACTGCTATGATTACTGTTTACAGAAAGAAATTGAAACAGAGCAAAATACCTGTTTATCAAACCACAATAAGAAATACTTTCATTTTGAAAAGATATCATTTTACATTTAAAAGTGAAAGTCTATATACATATGTCTAATTTTCATTCTTGGCTATAATGAAATGCATTTTCCTTAAGCAAATAAATACAGCAATAGGAATTATGGTTATTATAAGTAAAAGTAGCCTTTTACTTTCATTTAAATAAGTATGTCTGCTAAGTTTTTTGTCGTTTGAATAGTAGCATCAAGATATTTTTAAGAATCATTCAAAATGTGGCTTGGTGACAATAACTGCCATATTCTAAATTTTAAAAGTTGAAAATCTTAAATGGTTTTTCTTTCTTGCTATTGTTTCTAACATATATATAAGATGATTTCTTTGTATGTCCCTCCCCCACGGTATAACCCCTGCTTTCACTGTATTTGATGTTGGTATAATTTGTGGAGGGGAAGGGCAAAAACAAATTGTTTAAATAGGGATACAGGTGGACCCATTGC